GTAGTAGGTAGTAGTAGGTAGTAGTAGGTAGTAGTAGGTAGTAGTAGTAGTAGTAGTAGTAGTAGTAGTAGTAGTAGTAGTAGTCGTAGTAGTAGTAGTAGTAATAGTAGTAGTAGTGGTAGTAGTGGTAGTAGAAGTAGTAGTAGTAGTAGAGAAAAACAACAGCTTTCGTCATGGAAGGCATCGTCACCACCTTGGCCACGGTTCACGCCACCCCCCACCCCCCACCACACCCCGCCCCACACATCTCCTGCCCTCCACTCTATTCAGCCATACGCTGTAGATACAAAACAAAACTTACTTCAATGAATGTAAAAGATCGTAAAAGCCCTTTGCATCCACATGGAACGTTATCATCTTGATTAGCTTGCACAGCTAGTTGAAAGAAGAGAGAATTCTTGAAAGGGAAGAAAACTCCAGGGTGCCAACACAACTTTTGGCGGAATGTGTCTTGAACAATTCAGCAAGGGATTGCTTCTGCTTCACAAAAGCAGACGTCTCGGCAATGATTTCGTCCTCGACGCAAAACAAAATGATTTTGGACTTGGGCCAAACAAGCTGTTTGGGGTCAACTCAGGTATACGGTATATGTTTACTTGAGAGAGGAGGGGGTGAACGAAAGGTAGCAGCCAATCAGGCGTAACCCTGGGGGGGCCCGGCCCCCCCCCCCCCCCCCTTTTCAACTCCACCCTGGCGCGGCTCTTTGTCAACGGCTACAAAACACCGTAAATACCAGTGTTTTCAGCTCCTCCAGTCTGCAAGAGTGGCCTCGAACCATGCAATCTACATGGTTTTCCGTGGCTGTCCGGCCAACAACCTCGTAAAAACCGATGGTTTTTGAAGTGTCTAGGCTTCAAACATGGTCGAAAAATTGCCAACCACCTGGAAAGATTTTGTCGGAAAGACATTTTTCGGCGGTTGGCGGCTTCTAAATGCCACCAAACGATGGTATTTACAAGGGTTTTCGCGCCTTCCCGGCACAAAACCATGTAAATTGCGATGGCTTTGGGCGATGTACGCTTCAATTTGGCCACAAAACACCTTTAATACCAGTGTTTCCAGCTCCTCCTGTTTTCAAGAGTGGCCTCAAACCACGCTATTTGCAGGATTTTTGTGGCGGAAAGTTTTTTTCTCGGCGCTTGGAGACTTCAAAGTGGCACAAACGTTGGTAACTTACACGGGCTCGTGCGGCTTCCTGGCACAAAACCTTGTAAATTGGAATGGTTTTTTGCTATGTACGCTTCAAAGTGGCCACAAAGCACCGTCAAGTCCACCCTGGCGGGGGTCTTTGTCAACAGCTACAAAACACCGTCAATACCAGTGTTTTCAGCTCCTCCAGTTTGCAAGAGTGGCCTCAAACCACGCAATGGACAGGGTTTTCTGTGGCTGTCCGGCCAAAAACCTCGTAAAAGCCGATTGTTTTTCAAGTGTCTAGGCTTCAAAAATTGTCGAAAAGTACTTGGTGCTTCGAAAAGTGTCCAGGCTTCAGTATTTGGTGCTTTGCCTCAACTTTGATCCTTTAGCAAGGGCTTCTGTTCAACAGGGGGGGGGCCCTGACCCCCCCCGTCCCGCCCTCTAAAATGAAATGTCGGAGGGCGATTCTCAGTGAGATAGGTGTTCACTCTGGCTATAATTCATTTTTTGCTAAAGCAAAAGGAAAACTCAGGTAGCGTAACCGCTACCTTTCGTGACTTGGACTGACTCAAATAGCTGCAGGAATACATGTAGATGGCTTCTAGATACTTCTAGGCTTTCTAGAAGTCTCCCTAACTCATCATCCCCAAACGAATGACCATTAAACCGACCGTTCAACCGACGAGCGGCGGCACCGAGGTGCTCCAGCCCACGCCAATGCCCTCCGCTCCGTTCACCAGGACCATCGGAAGCACGGGACAATACCTGCAGAGCCGGCAGCTCGAACCGCAGCACGGGGGGCCGAAGGGGCTGAAGAGGGTGAGGCACTCCAAGGGGCCCCCAGCTTGTGGAACTGTTCCAAGCGGGTTTCATGGCACAAGGGTCCCGATTCAGACGCCCATCCCGTGACTTGTTTGAAGTTTGGTGCCAAACCTCTGGTGTGAAACCCGGCACAGGGCTCCACTGGCACACACTAGCCATGCTGCACACAACTGAAGAAACCTTGCTGCGTTCACTTCTTTCCGCATGCCATATGCAAGGGGAAAGTAGCCCCACAATACAAGGGCGCAAAGCGAACTTGACCGTCTGTCGACTCATTCATGCGAAACACACGGCCGCCTTAGACAAACGCAACAAGCTCACGGTATTCCTGGGCAATCTGCACTACAATGATACATGTCTATATATACGTATACAGACACTACATACATTTAAAGGCTACGGCTACTGCTTTGGATAGAGATTGCCCGGGAAGTGTCTCCCACAACCTTGCATAGCCCAGGAGCCATTTCGGCTCTATCCGCTGCCCCTCTTCCGACTGGTACTCCAGCACAGGGTCATCGTCCGGTGGGAAAAGGAAGCGAGCCGTTCTGGACAGCCTGCCCCACCCAGCCGTGACAGTGATCAAACTGTTGAATGTCCCGACTTCCCTGCTGGCCCGGCAATGAAGAGGTGAAGAGGAAAGAACAGAAGCCCGGCATCCCGTCCTTCCCATCCTGGCAACCAACAAGACGATGTTTCAACCCGGGCCAAACTACATGTCGACCTCCTGCTGTTCCCATCCAGTGCCATTCGAAACCTCCGTCAGGGTCTCTGCCTGGTGAAAATGTACCGGGCGGCTGCATGGTCCTTACCGCCCGCCATGCGCGTGCCAAACTGGCCCTGAGGCGCCAGGAGATTGATGTTGTTGCCTCAGTCTCAGGGGTCCAAGTCTTAAACAAAAAAGTCTTGGGAGGCAATTGAGCAGCCAAAAAAAGAGAATGTTTATATAAATATATATATATATATGATATATATGTGTGTGATGTTATGTAGTGCATGAGTAGTTAAATAGATAAATATATAGATACGCAATGTAGATTAGATTAGATTAGATTCGATTGGATTAGCTTAGCTTAGCTTAGCTAGCTAGATAGATAGATAGATGTTAGATTGTGCGTGCTTGTGTGTATATGTGTGTTATTGGTCCTGGTCACGCCCAAGGCCCACAGCTTGGTGCACAACGGTTATCCAAAGGCAAGCCTTCAACATCACATATCGCTTGACAACTGGTGCAGTTTCTTTCGAGTCTGCCCGGTTTGGTCTTTGTGATCTGGTTCGGTCCTTTGGTCCCAGCCCAGCTGCTGCCAACAAAGTTCTGGGCCATACCAATGATTGTGCCCTGCAGTGAAGATTCGCCATGGTGGTAGGCACTCCTTAGGTGAACCGTCATGAGGGGAGATCAATGAAAAACGTTCCCACCACCTTCCACGCGGGTGCTTTTCCACATGTGATATGCTGATATGCTGGTTTCCGTGATGTTGCAGTGTCCAATCAAAAAAATCAAACAGCGGCCATTTCAGCAAATCATATACTATACGCGCTGGATTTTAGAGAAGGCAGCTTCCGTGTCCTTTTGAAAGGTCCAATTCAAGTCATACCGCCCCAAACCACAGAGGTGACGGTGGATGCCTGGCCACGGCCGGTTCCCCCGTGTCAAAACCCGAGGCCAGTGGCTTCTCGGCGACGAAGCCCGAGAACTGCGCCACCTTGATCTCCTGAGCAGCTACACTGTGCTACAAGAAGGTCCCTACCGTAGACTCCGTACAACCCCCCTGTCTCAACATACCTGCCCCCCTGGAGGTTTCTTAAAAGTAGGGGCCCCCTAGGACCATGCTACGTTCGTACACCCCCTCCGGAAGTGCCAGCCATATGTGTCCATGCCAGTTCTGCGCTACAAGGGGAACGTGCCCCTCTAGGTTTGCCATCTCGTGTGCATTCTCCTGGTTCAGCTTCTTGAGGAAGGCGCAGTAAAGCACTTTCCGTTGCCCCGGTTTCCTCCGCGAGGTGGGAAGGGCTGGCTGGGTGGCTCAGTAGCATTCAGTAGCCGTGGCTGTTGACAACGATGTAAGTGGAAGGTGTGGTCAGAGCCAACGTGGGCTTGCGGGCTATATAGTCGCAAGAATGCACAATCTTAAAATGTCCAAGCATCTCCCTCTCTCTCTCTCTCTCTCTCTTACGGACTCTTTGCCCCTCCAACGGTGAACGGTTCACTGGACAGAATTGAGAGTCTTCACATCTTCTAACACTCTTTGCATCTCTCGGGCCCGGGAACGTTCTTCAAAGGCCAAGCTTCAGACCATCAACCAAGCAAGGGATTGCCCTTTCCACATCATATTTCGCCCACAGCACCAGCTCTTTCTGTACAAAGTCCTTAGCACAGGTGGAAGCCAAACGCCAAACCACCACCTGAAACCCAATGTGTTGGTCCCTCATGTCTAGATTTTCAGTTAAACAGATCCAAAGCAAATCAAAGTCCCGGAATGCCCAGCCACATTTAAGGTCAGGGTTGGCTGAGTGTGATCCACGAACTCGTTTCCCGAGCAATTGGAGATCCACTCTTTGCGTTGATCGGCCTGTCACATGGCCAAAAACCACTGGCCGAAAGGGCTGCGCAAAAAGCAAAAAACTGTTTGTGGACTTCTTGACTTTTTGTTTAAGCCTGCAAAGCCTGAGAGAATTGATTCTGATGAGTTCTGATGGTTGGGATGCCAACAACTCACCAAAACATGCCAAACAAAAACCTCGCCCTGTTTGCCCATGATCGATCTTCAAGCATTGATCTGTGCTCCTTCTTCCAGGTCGCACGCAGCATTTTCGGCGACGCATCAGGGAGGCCCTAGTGGATCCGCCAGATTCAGCTTTCCACTGCCACCGGGCCCTGCAGTTGGTAAGTCATCCAAATATGCCTGGAACGCTTCCATGGTGGCCGTGAAGTCCTTGCTTTGGGCCGCCTTCTCAAATTTGGCCACATCCTTCAAGAGTTGTCGGCTGATCTTGTCTGGTGCCATGTCTTGCCTTTGCATGGCTCCCCACTTTTCCATGGCTTTCTTCATCTTGGGAAAGGTGTCCGAGAGCCACGGATCGGCCACAGAGCCGGAGGCCTTCAGCGATTGGTAGCCATCCACAATCTTGGGTGCGTAACGTTTCCGGGCAGCGTAGAGGTCCCCCACATCCGGAATTCCATCAAGACTAGCCCAGCTTGGCTGACTGGACAACAAGATTAGATGACATAAGCCTCGTCTGGTCTGCGCCAACTGGCCCATGCTCTCCCGCCAGCATGGGCGGACTGCCTTGCAGAATGCCATGCCACCACATAGCATGGCAAGCGGCCAAAAAACAATACGGCTCTTGGCACGATTCACCATTAGCGGCCTTCTTTGGACGTCTCCGGCTAAGCCATGACCCAACGGACATGCGGTGCACACGGAGCCTAAAAAGTGGCAGATGCCGGGGACGGGCGACAGAGGGGCGACAAACCAACTGCCATTGAGAACCCCTCCCAGGCAGCCCGCCGCCTTCTTGCTGTTGAAGGCCATGTCGATAAGCGCATCATCCTTTGAATTGCGGCTTTTAGTCTGAGACAGGGGCATCCAGAAAGTGTCATATTATGTGGGCCCCCCAAAGCTCCTGATGAGATGGCATACGTTTGGCCAAGATGCGCCGTCATTGGTCAAGAAGGTGAGTTCGTGTTGCTGCAGGTCGGAGAAATATTCTTTTGCTTCAGCTGCTGTGCTGGTTCCAAGGCCCTTGTAGTACTTGCCTGAGAGAGAGAGAGGGAGGGGGGAGGGAGATCGTACGATGCTGTGCGGCTACGATAGAGAGATCAGAAGGAGTCAACGTAGCAAGTCACAGCACCCCAATAAGCAACCAATAATTCGAGATTGCCGCTAAGAAGCTGCTACTCTCCCTACTGGACCCGCACCAACAACCCATCTGGAACAAGCGGCAAGACCAGCCATGGCCATTGTTGTTCACCTGCTTCCAGGCCTCGTATTCCTGACGTCACCACAACTCCAGGCCACGCTCGGCTGGCCACTGGCCCAAGCCAGTGGAAAACCCTTCGAAAGCTGCCGTTGGATCTGACAGCGTTCCAGATCGCAGACACGGTTTTGAAAGATCAGGAAACTTCTAGAAAAAGTGCTCCCTCCAGTGGTTTTTTCTCATCGCCCCAATTCTTTTCTGCCTTCTAAAGCTTGGCTTGGAGGGTTGGTCGAACCCTCCGGCCGGCGAGGGAAAGAGTGATCCCTAGAAAAAGTGCATTCCCGCAGAACGTGTTTCTTGCATAGATGTCCACTGGGGATCCATGCTACGGGGGGCGTCAGCACCCCAAAAATAAACAATTCTGGGGGTAGCCAAGGTACTTTAGAATAAAAACAGTGGGTCCAACCCTGCCAAATTCATCATCTGACTAAGCTATCAGAATACCTCAGCGGAGGCAACTTGATGAAAAACAAATGAGCAACCCCAAGGCAAAAACATATTGATTTATTGCTTGTGACGTCGGCTCCCACTCCACCCTCATCTTGACCTATGATACGTCTGTTAAAGGCAAATGCCCAAGACTGTCGGTTCACCAAATGCCCAATTGCAATAAAATAAAATCTGCCAATCCAAAGCAAAACTCACCCTAGAACTACAACATATACATCTTTCAGTCTGCTAACCAATTCTTATTCTAAAGCTTTCTGGCTGAGCTGGGTGGCTTTTGTGGGGGGCTGGCTTGGTGCCATGCAGCAATAAAATAAAATAGAATCTGTGTATCTTCAACCTCCACCCACAAAAGACTTGTCTCTGACCTATTTTCGTATCCTGCCGGACGGTTTGACACCCGAGTTGACTCCAAAACTACCGGTTTGCTGGAGTTCAACAGCAAAAAGTGAAAACGCTAGCTACTTTGAGGTTTGCTATGTTGACCCTAATTCCTGTGTTCCTACACTAGCTTCATGGCTGATGACCTAGGGACCTTTTAACTTTTGAACAAGAAAAAACGTGAGTTTCCACTGCGAACTAATGACTGGGACGCCTTGCATCGCGCAGCCATTGTTTTGTAGTGGAAACTCAAAATTATTTGGTGGAAACTCATCCCAAGTTGAACGTGCTTGCTTTTGAAGCGTCCCTGACTATATCCGAGATAATGAAAATATAATTAACCAGTGCTGAGGTTCAAAGCCATTGTATCACGACTGATGTTAAAATAAAAAGAACTTCTCCAGCATCAGCCTCACATTCAAAAAATACATTATTTGGAACCAAGGTCCAGATCTTCCAAGCTCAGACAGCATGCGTTCACCGACCAGGTCCGAACTCGATACTCGGATCATGCGTGTCACATGCAGGCGTGAGAGAAGCAATGAGGAGCTGGATTGGAGCGCTTTTTGCGTTCTGGTGGCGAGACAACAAGCAAATAAGGAACTGCAAAAAAATGTGCCTTGTTTTCCTCTATTTTTGGAGGGGCCGACCAGTGAAACATCGTTTAAAATAGAGATCCTGTGTATTTTTTGCGCTGAAGGGGGCTGAGGTCCTACATTGTATTTTCAAAGCCCCATCCCCACTGATGTCCTTTCTAAAATAATATCTATCTGGTGACCTTGACCTCTCTACTTCTGCCACCCCTGTTCCAAGACTCCGCCAGCGTGAAGAAGCTCATCACCTCGCGGCCTCGCCAGACCTTCACAATGGGCGTCACGAACTCCCGGAGGAAACCCTCGCAGCGCAGAAGCCCGGGGAACCAATGCCTCGTCAAGACTCGGCCGTGCCGACGTCGAATCAGGGGGGCTCAGAAGTTGTGGGACCTCTCCGAAAAGAAGGGGAGGTCAACACTGATTGGGGTGAACAAGTGGTGATGGCACACTCCCCGGAAGCATCCTGGAAGTGGACAACCCCGTGTATGTAGAGGAAAATGATCATCCAAGTGGCCATTGCCACTTCCATATTGATGATTCCAGGGAGTGTAGCACCACAAAATGTTTGCAAGTCCCGACACTGGCGGCACAAAGAACTAGTTGCTGCTGAAGTCGCTGAATGAAGTTGATGACCAGGCCTTTGATGTGCGAGCCATCAAAGTCCTGCCACAGGACGGACTACAGGTGGGGAGTGTGTCCAACTTCCTTCAGACCGAGGAAAATATCAAAGAAATCACCTTCACTCTCACCTATCAGCCTATCAGTGCTGTTCTTGACCGATTTGGCAAAGAAAAATCACCTGCTCAAAAAATAATCAGTCCTGATCTGTCATGATCATCAAGGAGCCATATCTCAAGCCCTTGGTGTCATCCTTGGCACCGGAACTCGATACTCGGATCATGCGTGTCACATGCAGGCGTGAGAGAAGCAATGGGGAGCTGATTGGAGCGTTTTTTTTGCGTTCTGGTGGCGAGACAACAAGCAAATAAGGAACTGCAAAAACATGTGCGGTGTTTTCTCTATTTTTGGAGGGGCCGACCAGTGAAACATCGTGCACGACGCCAATAAAATAATCAAACTAGCAGCTTGCCAAAGATGTAGCCAAAGATGTATATATATATATAGTAACCCTGGACACATAGAACATTAAGGTGCACTAGGAAACTTTTAGAGTATTTTTGGAAGTCAACCAATAAAATATTCAGCATACCCCAGACACATACCAGACCCCGCTTATATATAAAGATTTCAAGAGTTGACAACAGACATGTCATGTCTGTCTTTCTTCAAATTCTCATCCAAACATATCCAAACAATATTCTAAGTGTTTTCCCCAATAGATATAGAATAATCTCTAATGCCCACGTGAGCATTAGGGAATATTCTACAGTACAGTAAGTGATTGCAGTTTACTATATATATATATAACAGGTTGTCAGAACTTCAGAAAGCCCGCGCCTTTTCCGACACCACATCTAAGTCAATGACTCTATCGTCTAGGATGTCTACAACAAGCCGGACAGGACTGCTCAGCCTGCCTGTTTGAGGCACACGCACCCGAAGTCTTAGGGTGGTTTTCGCACCGAAGTCTTTGGGTTTATGCAACCAAGGTTCGTACTGTTTGGAGGCATCAAAAGCCATGATCTTCATCAAGGCTTCGATCTCCTTGTTGTCCATCATCTGTTTGACCTCACTCAATGATAATAACATATAATAACAAATTGCATTTCCTCCACCCACCAAACACTAGCATCTCCACAGATCTCCCGCTTTGCATCCTGCAGGCCTGACCAGTGAACAAAAGAAAAGAAGCTCCAGCAATGGCATACCGGAATGCCCAACACCAACACCCCCATTCCGTCACAGGTACGGTCAGCTCGCGCACATTTCGCAGCTTCCCGCGCAGAGGGAAGACACCATAGTGATCCCTGCCCACCACCTGGAGGCCTGCCACATGCATGGTGGAACATGTTGTTGGCCGAAGCGGGTGGTGGGCGCTACGGACCGTTCGGAGTTGTTGTGGCATCAGGGAGTCAGTGTGAGCACCCATCAACGTCCATCACTGGATCACTAGACACGCCTATGCAATCCAATGCATCCAATACCCATCACGAGCCCTGAGGGCGGGGTTCCAATGTGAGTTGAAAATCCGAAGAAAGTCGCTAGACACCGAGATATTGTTGCAAGCATTGAAGATGAATATCAAGACTCAACAAAGGGGGAATCACAATTGATACGCTGGTCGGAAGGTACCCGAAGAAGAATGGCAGGGAACCAAAACTTGAGGCCAGGGGGAGGAGGTCGAAAGCTAGCCGAATCGCACCGGATGTACTAGTTACATAGTCGGCAAAGCAGGTAGTGAGTACATGTTCTGGGAGGAAGGTTGCTATGTACATACTTTGCGCTAAAGAATGTAAATGTGACATCGCTGACTGGGAAGGGTGCATTGGAACAACCCGGGTGCACTCGTTGGCAGGCGCGAAGATGCGTGATCGGCAAATCTGGGGGGTAAATTTACCCTCCGCTTTTGTATGCCTTGAGGGGTAAGCATTTCTGACATCATACGAACTGTACATACACTAGGGCGTCCGTAGTGTAGGAGAAGCACGGCTAAAAGGTATATGGAATAGAGTGTCTTGAGGAAATAGCCGGCTTATGGTTATTGCAAATCTGGGGGGTAAATTTACCACCCGCTTATGTATGCCTTGTGCCGGAAAGAGGAGTAAGCATTTCTGGCATCACAAGGACTGTGCATACACTAGGGCGTCCGTAGTGTAGGATAAGCACTGGTAAAAGGTATAAGGAGCAGAGTGTCTTGAGGAAATAGCCGGCTTCTGGTTATGGCAAATCTGGTGGGTAAATTTACCCCCCGCTTATGTATGCCTTGAGCCGGAACGAGGGGTAAGCATCACAAGGACTGTGTATGCTGTAGGATAAGCACTGGTAAAATGGATGTAAAAGGTATCAGGAATAGAGTGTCTTGAGGAAATAGCCTGTGTATGGTTATAGCAAGCCTGGGGAGTAAATCTACCACCCGCTTATGCATGCATTAGGTTAGAAATAGGGGTAAACAACTTGTAACAGTGAAGTACAAGTCCTATGCAGCAAGCAGCAGCCAGCAGCAGCAGCAGAAGCAGCCGCCTGCAGCCAGCAGCCAGCAGCAACCGCCAACCAGCAGCCAGACAGCAGCGCCACGCAGCAGCAGCGCAGCACCAAGCCGCAGCAGCAGCAGCAGCAGCAGCAGCACCACCGGCAGCAAGCAGCAAGCAGCAAGCAGCAGCAGCAAGCAGCAAGCAGCAAGCAGCAAGCAGCAAGCAGCAGCAGCAGCAGCGGCGTCGTCAGCAACAGCAGCAGCAGCACCAAGCCGCAACAAGTAGCAAAGCAGCAGCTACAAAAGCGGCAACCAGCGGCAGCAGCAAACAGCAGCAGCAAGCAGCAGAGCGGCAGCAGCAGCACCGTTTACACCAAGCCACCGTTTACACCCAACCAACCACGTTCACACGTTCAACCAACCCCCGCTACACGGCGCAGCTGGGAGTCGAACCGTGGGAGGGTCTGGCCCCCCCCCCTCTTAGTGTGATATATCAAGCTTTAAGGCACACAGCTCATCCCACTACCAATTGCTAAAGCAAAGAAGAACTCAGCTAGCATGCTAGCTTTCGTGATGAGCGCTGTTCCAACCCACGATCTCGGCACCAGTCGGGCAGCTTTGTCCTCGATCATCACTCGCTCAAGGACTGTTCCAACATCAACAGTCAACGGTTCCACAAAGATCTCCAAGATACCTATCTATATAGAATGGAAAAGTATATAGATCCTGACTAAAAATATTTTGGAAACCGTGCGACTTTCTATTTGGGGACCACGCTCCTAATGTGAATCATGTCACCCATGGCCCAGTCAAAAAAACTCCAGCGCACCTGCCACGGCCAAAGCCTTGGCTGAGTCACCCTCGGTGATGATCAATGTGCAGTCTTGAGAGTCTTTGGTGCCCGCCTGACACCATGAGAGTCAATGGCCTTTGAGGCAAAGGAGAGAACGAAAAAGAAGGCAACCCAACTGATGGAGTCCACTGAAGTCGCCTCTCAGCATCTACTCAAATAGTTCCAACCCTCCACATTCTAGAGCCCATATGAGGGTGAAACTCCTATCTTTTTGCAGCACGAAGAGGGTTCAACTGCCTCTCCCGCAAGCGACGTTCCCGCTGCCTTGTTTGCATCCTCCAGCTTTGGGATGCCAAACCTGCACTGGGCAAGTTTCAGGCTGCCGGTGAAAGCCACCAGCTGAATGAGCTGGATGGCACTCAAGAGCTACTCACATGATGACGCATTATGGCCAATACAACTGGTTCAGCCGACCTTTCCAATCTTAACAGGAATGGCACTCGCCCACGTTGCAAGTTGGTGACCGGGGGCAGTCTCAAACGGAAAGGTTACCTGGGCCACTACTCTTCTTCAATGATGTTGACACTAAGAAGCAACCGCTTTTGAAGGCCCAAATCGCTCTTGTTCCTTAGATGCCGGCATGCAAGAATCCCTTCCTCCCGTGTGAAAGCGGGCTGAACAGCCGTGCCCAGTTTGCGGGAAGCTGAACAGCCATGGCAAGTTTTTTCTATGAGCCCCCCCCAATCAGCTGTGGCCAAAGCAATCACGTACTACTTTGGCCCCTGCTTCTCTCTTCCAAGACGTGTCATTTCACTAGAACTTCAAGTTCTGAAACTCCTTCAAATTGGAAAGAGGATGAAAGATGTCAGCATCCGAGTTTCAAGTGCCGGGCGAGCTCGCTCTTTCCCATCGCCGTTGACCTCACTCTTTCCCATGCTCACTCTACAGGCATGTGCCCATTGGTCTTCATGTCGCAGCCGGGTGCTCGTGGCATCAGTGCTTCAAGTGTACCTTTGTGTATCCACACACAAAGAAACAAGGCAACTACACTCCGAGTCATTATTTAAATATCAGCATGGAGAGGAGAAAAAAAAAACACATGTTTGCAGAGAAAATGGTCTTTGAGGATGGGAGTGTAGTAGACCATGTCTGTGTTGAACAGGAATGACTTCTGGATGTGCACCTCTTCAGGCAAAATACGCACCCTCTTGGCTCAAATGCCTCTTAATCGGTCTGCCAGTCATCGTCGATGCTTTGTCGCTCAGGTGGCGGCCATTCTTTCAACGATTCGATGAGCCCACAGTCCACGATGCCCTGCAACAAATCGTCAGAGAGCTCACAGCGCGAGCCTGGCTGGGGTGCAGATCTTGAGATTGTTCACACTTCCATCAGTCAATGTTCACTGTGTCAACACATCCGTGACTTTCAGGGGGATGGCACCCGTGCCCTCCAGCCGCCCCCTTGGAACTTCTGGAATGCTTGTCTCTGTCTCTGCAGTTCTGGATGCGTTTTTTCACTCGCTGGCTGGAGCTACTAGTAGCTTCTTGTTACTAGTAGTATGGCCAGGAGCTACTAGTAGCCTCTTGCTCCTAGTAGCGATGCCCTTTGTTCCTAATAATTACGATTCAGGCCAATCTACCAAAAGCCCGGTCTCAGGCATCCCTGCGCTGTTTCGATGCTTTTACCGAACGCGGTTCCCACATGTTCCCACCATTTCCCACCCTAGACCAGGTATCTTCTTGCCTTTCTCAAGAGGTCGTTCATAGATCAACTGCCAAGGAGCCAAAGCGTTCCTTTTTGGTGGTGAGCGTCTCCTTGGTCTGGGAGTCGAAGGCCTTGGGAAACACTCGCCGAGCCTCGGAGCCCTTGTGACGACATCCGGTTCCGCTGGGCGAACCACGTACCATCAGGCGAACCACAACTTCATTCGATTCCAAACGTCTTCTGGTGTTCAACTCTTGCCGGGCCACACCAAGAGTTGTTGGGGCCGTGCAGCTCAAAATTCTTCGGACCATGAGTTCGACACGACTGCAGCTCCCAATGCAGCTCAGTTAAACCCCCGCAATGCAAAGCCGCCCAGCTGCGGGGTTTTCAATGAGGCAGTTCACGAAAATCCAGAGATGGTTCCGCACGTGCTGCGGCTTCACTGAGAGGTGTCCAGCCTGCGCCCAGCGGCCCAGCCCAAGTCGTGCTGATGAAATCCGAAAAATGGCTGGGGGGAGGAGCCCGAAAAAGGGGTTGACCCCTGACAATCCAACAAAAGGGGCCAATGTTTTGTCCACCTTGCCAGCTATGACTTTGAAAGCTTTACAACGTCCACCGTTTCGGAGGGCTTTGAGAGTCGCCGACACAAGCAGCACAAGCAGCCACACAGACACACAGCTGAGCCTTGTCGGACTTCTGTTGACCGATCTCCTCCATGACCCGCGCGACCACCTAGATTCAATCAAGGGGCATGTGTTATCATTATCATTATCATTTGTTCATGATTGCACTACCCACCACCGCCCACCACGCAACTGCCCTCGTTTCTAGCAACTTCCAGCCTCTCCCAGCCACGGTCGGTTCGACAAGCTCAACGACACCGGGGCGCGCGTGTCCGCACGCATGTCCGCGCGTGTCCGTGTCCGCGCGCCTGCTCAGTGACGTGGTTCACATGTGTGCCTCCTCGACTGGTGCAAATGGAGTTCACGAAACTTACCTGCCACCGGCCGGTCGCCATGCAGAGTCGAGGTTTTCCAGCTGCCACCAGCCCAGGGGTCGCCGTGCAAACTGCCACTGCAGCCAGCAAATCATCACAAATTTTGCCAGCCCTTAAAACACTGCACTGCATGACGTCCTCTGAGTAGTGCACTTTTTGAATACAAGTCTTGCCTCATCCTGCCGCCAAGCGAGCTGCACTAAGCTAAGCCACAAGTCTCCAGCTCTGTTGGCTGGGAGCATTAGGTAGTGTACATCTCAAGGCCAGATTTTTCTGCTAAAGCGATCACAACTCGGACTTCGGCACTTTATCGCCCTTAATCTTCAGCAACTCCAAGGTGAAAACCAGGGCCGCATCCCCTGGGATCTTTCCCCCTGCACCGCGCTTCCCGTATGCCAACTCGGATGGGATGTAGAGTTCCCAATGGTCCCCCTCCACCATGAGTTGCAGGGCCTCGGTCCAACCGGCAATGACCTGACTGGGCTTGAAGGTGGTTGGGGCGGACCGCCGGTAGGAAGAGTCGAACTCAGAGCCATCAATCAAGGTGCCTTTGTAATGACATTCGCATGGAGAGTTTTTGGTCGGATGGTGGGTGCCATCTCCCTTCTTCAGCACCTTGTAGAGCAACCCGGAAGACAACTTCACGACACCCTCCTCTGCCTCTTTGAGCTTTAGGAATTCGGTTCCTTTCTCATCTGTTCCAAGGGTGCAGCAGAAAGCCAAAGCAAAACTCAGCCAGGACATCCGTGCCATTGGCGCTGAACTAATACCCGAAACCAGCCCGGCCTTCGAAAACTGCTTAAGCCAAGCTCTACAACAAAGGAATCCAAACTGATCAAATCAAGCAGCAGTAGACGACATATTCCAGAAATTGCAGGCCCACTGAGCCGCTTGACATATCGTTCCAACGACCGTTCCATTCCGCTCTCTTGTTTGCTGTCTATTCTCATGCTCTTAGGCCTTTACGTGCTCAAAACCTGCAAACCCGTTCGCCTTGTCCTCTGAACTCTGAACCCAGGAGCGAAAATACATGCCCCACAAACACCCACAAACATTGTATTTGCTCTTTGGACAGGTCTTCGGCAACTCCTCATGGCCACGACTACCCCCAGGAACCGAAGGCCCACCTGTCTGAAGCCGCTTCCATTGGTCAAAGCGACCGCCACCTGCCATCGATCCCCACAGGTCTCCACTCCTCAGCTGAGCCGGTCGGCGACGGGGCGACCCGGTCGGCGCAACAGGCTGCACTGTCTTCGATTGCTTGAAAACTTTGGAGCATGTCTTACTGTAAGTCTTTTAAGATCTCTTGTGTCTTGAGATGTCGGCATCTGGTCGACTGGTCGACTGAACGTCGCAGATTGGATGCCGCCAAGGATCGCCTGAAGTCATCAGACTCCAAAAACATACCCACGTAATCCTCAAAGGACTGAACGTCCAATTGGCGCCCGTTGAGGAAGACGTGACAGCGGCCACGTGTGGAGGCCGCAATGTCGTACGCGCGCCGTTGCATTAAGGATACGATGTCCTCCTCAAGATGTGTCCTTAGGTTCGTCAAAAGACCCCAAAAAAAAAAAACGAAGCAGCACTTGGCGCTCGCCACCGGACCTAGACGAAGGCCACACAGTGACGAAGACGAAGGCCTCGTACTAACTAGAGTCACTAGAGGGGTCGATTCCTGTAACAAACGGATGGATGATCATTGCGACAGGCCAAACAAACAAACAAACAAACAAACAGAAGCAACGTCAACTGCACCAGCTTTTGCCTGATTCCTGTTTAATGTCCAGGCATACCCAGACATACCCAAACAGTCAGAGGCGACCGCCAACTTGTTGAGACCTCCCTTCCTACAGCTGCTTTCACGCCCAGCGTCATGCCAAAACGAGAAAAATCTGGCTCAAAGGAGACAGAGGTAAAATCCTGGCCTTTGCATTTGGAGATCTCCGGTGGCTCTCCTTAGGGCCAATCATCCAGTGGTCCCAAAAAAAGAAGCAACTTGGGACATGGATGAAGTGCTCCCCAATTTCAGACAAGTGTAGAAAGTCACACAAAGTCATAGTGACACAATGTGTTGCACAGGTTCCAACCAATTTGACACTCCAAAACAACGCTGATCTCGTCCCAAGGCTCTGCTCGTCATGTTTTGGTGCCACACTTGCCTTATTGCGACGAACGACAACGCCACCCGGCACCGACCCAGCGACGCTCCGAGCGGCCGATAGCGCTTCTCCCTGCTGGAGTCGGCGGTCTCCACGATGAAGCTCTTGGAGTAGATATTGGTGAGCTTTGCACCATATCCTTGGAGCATGTGGAGGTGAAAGAACTCAGTCCACACGAACTTGGGGCTGCCTCGAAATTTGGGAGGAGAAAAAAATAAAAGCAACCGACCTACCGGTCGTTTGCGCAGGAAAACGGGTGAATTCAAGGGAAAAACGGTTCATAGAATTGAGCTCCTACATGTTCCTGATGGCGCGACGTGGCCACGTCCACGTCCAGAGACGCCTTCCACGTCCAGAGACGCCAAGAGGCATCAAAGCGAATCGAGGCTGTCAGGTAGGGGGCTGGGGACCAAAACATGTCCTACCACGTCCTACCTGTCCGTATGGCTTCTGTGATGTCCATCCAAATGCGCCCACCAAGCGTCCATTCCGGCCACCCACGACCTGGCGACCCCGAAACGGCAGCCGTCTCGGTCAAGCAACACCAGCCACACAAACGCACTGTGCTCCAGCCTTCTTCTCGGAGTCATTGTAATTGTCACTGGTTAATAAGTGGCCAAAAACCAGCTCAGGCACCTTGGCTTGCGCGAACCTACTCGTACCCTGGCTTCTCCTACCTTGCTCGCTCTCGTCCACCTGTCCATCCATCTATGCTGACCCAAATATGGGCCACCTCATCCATCCATCCATCCATCCATCCATCCATTCATTATCATTCATTATTCATTGTCATTCATTATCATTCATGATCGTTCATTATCATTCATATTCATTCATATTCATCCATCCATTCATTCATTCATTCGGCAAACGTGATTCAGTCTTGGTTCAGATTTCTACTTCAACCACCACATGTACTGGAGTTCTTCTTGGATCTGATTGGGGGCACCCATCTTCCCGTCGTCCCTGTGCGCCCTTGGCCGGAAACCGTTCCACAAGCTCTGGGACCTCGGGGTTTCGCCGCCCGCACTGACGGTCTCGCATCTCGGGCACGTAGCAGCCATGCTCCTTGTGGATTTCGATGGGAAGACCTTTCCCATTGTTCCAGACCTCAAAAGCCGCAACGACGTGCTCAAGGTGTCGATCAACGAGGTGATGTGAGAGAGACAAAAGAAGTGGGGGAGAAAGGGACAGACTGGAGGAAGGAACAAGTGAACTTCAAGCCAAGTCTGCTTGAGATTAGAGTTGCCATCTGCTCATGACTTCAAAATCAAAAGAACGGAAATTCCTCGACGGCTGCCTTTGGCCGATTCTGCCCTCCAAGAGGCAGAGATCCTGGACTTTGCAGTGTCAATCTCCACCCTAATGGTGTCCATGCTGGGGTCGCGGATGAGGTTATCCGCGGCATTGACAAGGATCTCCTTGGCTGGAAGAAGCTTCCGAAACAGAAACATGAGGTGTCGCCAAATTGGCACAGTGACACAAATTAATTTTGCATTTCAATGTGATCTGTTTGAATCAGTGGGCCGCTTGCAATCCCTTTTTGGCAGTTAGCCCTCATGCATGTGCAACTGGAATTTTTGGGTCCCTCGTCCGGCCTTTTGGTATTGTAATTTTTGGCGACCCTGGGACTTCCTTACTATATCACAACATTATCAACATTGTCATGACTTCACACCTTTGTCATCGATGTTCATAACATTATCATCGGCTTCATAACATTAACATGGTGCCCACAAAACTATATATCATGGTGTTCATCGTTGATGTCATCCTGGCCCCTTCATCTGTTGTCTGTGCATCTTCCTTCACATTGGAGATGGAAACTTCTTTGCGTGCCACTTCGTACATGCGCCGCAGCAAAGCACTTTGGTGCATTTTGCTTGTGCTGTTGCGTTTAGCACAGGAAGCGGCCTCTCCAGATCCGTCGATCCGGATTGCGTAAGAAGATGAACGCTAGTTTTTAGACACGTCAATTGTTCGAAAATGCTCCAAAAACATTCACAAAATACGCCATGTTGTCGCACACCCGCTCGACTCCAGCTCCCCGCTTCTCACCGTAAGTGCCAACGTTCGAAGGGTTGCAGACCTTCCAAGACCAAATTCTTCGCAACTGGACTGCATTCATGTCATCTTCCAAATGGCAACACCCCTGCTTTCATCGCCGCCCAGGGTCATCAAAGATTTTGTACAAGGCCGGAACAAAGGACAAAGGCCTGGACACCATCTGTCGCCTCGGCACAAACAACCACAGCCCTTCAGCTCAGAGCTTGTGAGACGGACACTGTCGCCGCGCATACGCGACTCCATGTGACTGTGGCTGGGAGTTCGCACAGGTTGGTTAGCTAGATTCTAGATCGTCATGTCGGCAAGCACACTAGGTCACTAGGTCGTGTAAGTCTCCGATCCTGGGCCCATGAGGAGGACCGGACCGCACCGCAAGGACGGCACTAAGAGGCTCTTCAGTCAGGATCCACTGCTCCTGATGCTGTCGCTCGACAGACCCTACGTAGCTGTCCGGCCGCAACAAGATATGCTCCAGCTGGGTCTTCTTCCTGAGTTGCACCCAAAAAAGAATTGCTGGCAGACTCAACCCAAATAAGAAAGGAGAGAGGACCACTTGGCGCGACTGCCGGCATAAGAATCATAAGAAACTCTTGACTCCTGATCAGCTTGGTGCAATTTCTTGGCATGTCTTGGCAGTAGGTGCGTCCTCTCTATGTGGGCAAGCCATTGATGTGAAGCTCTCCTTTGCGATGTTATACTTCGCGTGGAAACCCCAGATGTGTTTGTTCAGACTTCCCCTTTTTCTTGCACCACAACACCAACACATAGAAAATCCCGGACCACCATGCCACATCAAAATCATCAAACCATATCAAACCCCAGCACCAATGCATCACCAGGTCTCTGGTACGTTTGTTCCACCGTCTTTTCGCTCGACTTCGTCGTGACCCGCCGCCGTGGACTCACCGACGGCGAGGGCGAGGGCGACGGTCCCGAGGGCTTCACGGCAGACTCCGCAGGCAAGTCCGCGGTGGAAGCTGCGCTGGGCCGCTTCCTTGAGAGGGAGACCCATTTGAACAACACTCATCATGTAATGGGGTGGCTCTCCCCGTGGGAGCTAAGCCTAAGAGGTTATCACGACTGTCGGGGCAAAGGGACATTCGGTAAATTGGTTAAATCGATAGAATTTGGTAAATGTACCGTTTTGCTGCTTTACAGCGTGCTGTGGCGTCCTCCACATTTTACGGTTTTACTGCGTGCCGTTCTGGCCAGTCACTGCTCCACGCATGTGAATTCAAGCAGAGTATACTCAAAACATCAACTAAAAAAGAACTTCTCTACATGCACTATATGATACGTGACAAACTTCTCTACATGTGTCTAGATTCTAGATATACAATATAAATTCCTTGGAGTAAAGGAATCACACGTCAGCAAAGCAACTATGTCAGCACGTCCATCAATTCGACGAAAGCTGGAACGTACAGATTTAAAGTTCTTGAGCTTCTCACAAACCATTACAAGGTGCATTGAAACCCAAAGGCCATGGAGAAAATTGGTAAATTGCAAACTGGTTTAAGATTCACACATTTACCTTTCTACCGCGCGCTTCGTCACCCGAACTGCTGTTATATCTTGGGCCGCGACACCGACACCACCACAGGCTTTCTCGCAGCAAAGCCATACAGGGTGCCCTGTTCCAAGTCACTGGGTACAACCTCTTTATTTAGAGGAGCCTGTATACATTATTTATATAATGATTGATAGGTGGCTGGTGTTTCAAGAACTCCATCAGCCGGTGGTGCAGAACGTCTTCCATCAGCCATCCCAAGGCTCACCCAGCTGTCCCAAGGCTCACCCAGCAAACACGTGCCCAGTGTGGTTCCTTTTCGGCCGGGTTTCCTCGGAGCTCTTGCAGGGCTGCTGTCCTCAACGATGATGGGGTCCTCATGGTGGGCGGTGGGAGAAAACCCAAACACGGCAGCGTTAGCAGCCTCAGCTGCTTGGAACGCTCGGGCACAAGAAAAAGCATGAGGAGTGGGATAAGACGTGACGTGGCATGACCCCGGGAACTCGACGAAGCAAAAACACACCAGTCATCCGTTGCAACTGGTCATCCGTTGGAAGTCGGGACATGGAGATTCACGACGCCATACTTTCAAGATCTTTCAAGGAATCAGCCAAGCCGGTCAGCTGAAGTTGCTTCAGCCAAGCCGATCAGCTGAAGACCCTCTCCTGCGCTACCACTCGAGCTTTCTTCTGCCGCTCGAAGAAGCCTCCTTGAGTCGGTGTCCAAAAATCGAGCGCAGAACATGTGGCCTCGTAGGATCCAGACATGAACGAAAAGGGCGCGCATAACCGCGCATACCCCCATTTCGACAACTGAGGAGGAGGCAGATGCTACTAGTAGCTTCTTGTTGCTAGTAGTAATGGCCTCCAACTTACTTGCGATGGCCTCCACCTAGTTAGCGTCCTTGTTCCTAGCAGCTTCTTGTTAAGGGTCCCGTGTTTTAACAACAAACCGACATGGTCGGCTCCACATGGCTCCACTCACGCTCTTCCGCCAGGTTGCTCATCGACTCCTTCCGCGGCGGCTCTTCGGGCACGTGGGGCGGCGTGCCTCGCTTGGTGGGAACGAGTGGGATGGGAGGCATGGACAAAGATCTGCATCATGTAGTTCGATACATTTAACGCTGTGATATTGTATGCGTATACATATGTGATCATATGCGTATATGCTATATATATATATATATCATTCAGATGGGATATATCAACGAATAAACTGTGATAGACTGGCCTGCGCTTCCTAAACCGCCTCAGTGGCCGCGAGGCCCTCCTCCGACCTCCCACACGCACGTCCACCACACGAAAACGCGCCCGGATGGCCGTGCCTCTCCGTTTCTTCGGCGGACGGAGGTTGTCTGGGCGAACCTCACAAGCTTTTGGGGTCAACCCCACCAGATTCATAGGCAGATACTCAAGGGCTCTGATTCATGGAGCTGCGGCAGGAGCATTACATCAAAAAAACTCGTCGCAGGGCTTTGAGAAGACGATGCTGCTTCCAGGAAGCCCGCCCCATCCAGGAAATACAAAATACACACACACACACGCATATATATAATATATATATATATATATGTGTGTGTATATAACATAGCTATGCCAACTGTAGCACCACCCTTGGACCCTTTTCAGACAATTAGACATATTAGACTATCCAAATAATGAGCCACTGGCTTGCCGCAATCGGCACAGGCGAGGTGAATTGGACATCTTTATGACTCCTGTCGAAAATTGACCCTCCAGGTTCCAAAACAAGTGGCACGAAAGAATCCAACTGTGCAAAAAGAAACGCAAACAACGCACGCCCATGGGGGTCAAAATGATGGCGAATTCCTAAATGCAAGCGCTTGAAGGTCTCAATGTGAATCAACTACAGACCAATCCTTGGAGTTGCACCGTTTCGCCCCACCAGCACATGAGTTCGGTCTAGTAATCCAGGAAGCCCAACATTTTTGCAAGTGGATCCCATGACATTCAAATGACTCTCTCGCTGAGCAGCATTGATCTCCGTGCCATCATCCAGGCGACAGGTCCAGCGTTCCTTCTGCTTCAGCCACGCTTCCAACACCACTGACCTGGCAGTCGCTGATCAAAGGTGCCATGCAGGCGGTGGGAAGTTCATCTCTCCAAAGTGCCAATCCAGCTGGGGGCTGGAACTGCTGCCAGGTTTTTCAGTGGAGTACTGCTAGTCTTCCAACAGGCACCAAGACAGACTCCAGAATAACATGTTTAAACACGAAGCTGCTCAAATAGTTTGGCTGAAGAATCATCACTTAAGTTGCCAAAGAATCTGCCAGGCACCCCGCACGCTCAGAATCGCTAAGACAAGCGGCTTGCCATTGAGCTCCGGGCGGCCGACTAAGCCTTGCGGGTGCAAGCGCCTGTTTGCTATCATGGCCCTGTGAATTGTAGAGCTTCGCACTTGGGGGGGCCGATTAGATCAAAGGCAGCTCGGCAGACTGAGAGCTAGGCCAGGCCCTGGGCTCTCAGCTTCCTACCATGACCCCTGTCCACCTTCATGCCCAAGAGGCCGTGCAAGACAGCAGAGGCACCCGTCTTCATGGCAAGGTGGTGCCCCCTTGCCCTCTCGCCATGGCTTCCAATGGCTTGTCAATCGAACAAACTATTGCAATATTGAACCAATTAGGGGTTGGTCCAGTGCTCGATGGACCACAATGCACGATCATGAACCCCACAGACTGGTTGACCAAAGGCTTCTCCCGGTGCATGATCTTCTCATTGGAATCTGCTTCTCAAGGCTCCCAGCATGCGCTTACGTCGCAGTATATATATATATATATATATCCCAGTAAACTGTCGGCGTTGAACAAAAATGAGCACGGGTGGTGTATCAGCATATGGCCTCAAATGCAGCCTGATGAAAAACCAATAACCCACCATCGGCGGTGTTTCCTCTTGGTTTTGAACATTAGGGAGGCGATCTAGTTGGGGCTGGCGCAGTTTGGGTTGCGTCGTAAGGCCGGGATGGTCTACCAGAGCCACAACGCACTTGAGCCGCCAGGTCCAGGTGGATCCGACCACTCCATTGGCGCAAAGCCCTAGTGTAGACTCTTGATTGAAACAATTCATAGGAAGGTGCTTCAACCCAAAGGGGCGGGGTTACTTACTCACCTAGCCTACCACCACAGTGGTTGGAAAAAATATAACACAAGATCGCACAAGCGTGCCAGGCCCGTGCCCATGCTCTCGTGAAGGTCCTTCGCATAGCCAGGGACCGGCTGGTGGAGCTCCATCATGGGCTGGCACGGTGAGTGGTGAGAATACTTGCACAATTTAGGTAGCAGTTCGGAGTCCTGCTACATAAAGAGAATCCGTTTTTTGTGTATATAGTATATAGGGGCAGCATCTCACCAACCCAGGGACCCAGAGCGTTGGGAAAGAAACTCACCAACCCAGTGAGGTGTTCTGGCTCTGTCCTCCACCCCGTTGCCCGGTGACACATGGCACGACTGGAACGCACCCACGTACAATCCTAGAAGCTCCACACAACACAACACACACACACAAATATTGTAATGATTAGCTAAAATGAAATAACTATATATGCCTTTTGTATGTATATCTATCTATCTATCTATCTGTCTATCTATCTATCTATCTGTCTATCTATCTATCTATCTATCTATAATGCGCTTCCTCTTTTTCCTCTGGCGAAGATCATGATCCTCTCCAGGCGACTGGTCTCTGCAATATATAAATTCTCGATGGGGCCGAAAGCAAGGAAGCATAGCACCTTGACATCTTTTGGAGGGGTGTCAAAAAGCGCATAATTATTAAAAACAAAATGACCCTTCTTGGATTTGGCCATTCACCTGGCCTCACTTTCTGCACGTCGGCGCCCCGGCACTGGCACCCAACGATTTATCAAACATGGCCTCGAAGGTGGTGCTGCTAAAGCCACACAAAAAAAAAGAAACTCGCGGCTCGTGCAGCGTGTGTGGCCAGAAAGTCATGCAGACCCGCCTCTTCTCAGATGAAAAACATATCTACGTGACACATGGGCACCAACAGGCTCCACAGTGACTTGGCCAATCCAATCTCTTTCAGCCCGCTTGTCTGCTTCTTCGAAGCTGGGGAGGGCTGAAACGATTCTGGCCTTCGGCCATTCATGGAAGACCCTGCCTGGTGCAATCGGAATTTCCACCCACCTGTCATGCAAAACCATCGCCTTGCTCAACCTGCTCCCCAAAAAATGCAGGGCACGCGGTTTGTTGCTTTTGGAGGCTTCAAGATCCGTTGAAGCGAATGTTCGTATCGATGTATAATGTTTTTTTTCCAATACATCACCCACATGGCCCATCGGTTCACACAGGTCTTCAAATCCGCCAGGTGCGATCACAGCGCGGCAGCTAGGTCGTGTGGCCTCTGAGCCTCAGCACCTCAGTGAGGGGGGACCCTCTCTTGAGGATTCCCCAGCAGCTGCGGCAGTTACAGGGTGATGGTTGGATCTTCCCGACGTTGACACGCGACCAGCGGCTCGGAGTCTTGGAGGGTTTCACCAGGCTGGAGTGTTAGGCTGGAGCGACCAGGAGGGTTGGCCGGAGGGTGGGCCTTGCTGAGCCATTCATGTTTGCCCCAATGGAGAAAAAAAGAAGAACATGGGGCGAGCTTCAAGGGTTACTCACGGCAAGCCTACTTCAAATGTCCATTTGGGCGAGCATTAATTGAAGCCTTCAACCTACAGTGCATTGACAAGCCTCAGCATCGATAGAGCCCAGTAGATTCCAATACCATACTCAACGACCTTTGCATCCGCCCTCGCAGAAACCCTCACAAAGTTTCAAGTTCGTGGCCCACAGGGCAATACGCCCCGGCGAGTTCTTAGCACGCCCTCCCATGCCACCCGTGCCTTCAACAGCTCCGTCACCTTGGCGTCCAGCTGCCGCAGGTCAGCGCGCATGGCCACCTGATCCACAGCACGAGCCTGGCCAAGGGGATGTTTTTGAAGATTGACAACTCCACAACCTCTACTGTAAACAATGTCCAATGTGTGCACGTAACTTGCTGCATGGCAAAACCTGCAAGACCTGCTTCCCCAACTGTTAGGCCGCATGGCTGTGGGGGTAGAAAGCCAAGCAATGCAGGGGTAACTCCGCTCTATTGCGAACTGGTTCAGCTAGGTACTGGCTAAATACTGAGTGAACAATCAAAGTTAGGTGAACTGAGCCTTTCATCGAACCGTACGGAGGCTTGGCAAGCACTGTTCCAAAAACATCCAAAAACCAAAAGAAACCCCCAAGTTGCCCCCAATGGATCTGTCAGTGCGAAATGGGCACAGCCATTGAAACATGAAAGATCACATTGCGGGCAAGTGCATCTCACCCTCGCACCCGCACGGTCTTTACAGAGATCATGGGGGCGAAGCTGCTTGTACTGGAAAGCGTCCCCACTCCACGCCCAGCCATTGAAAAGATTTGGCAACGCAAATAAGCGGTTCAGCGCGGGTGGCTGGAAGACTGCAGGTCTGGGAGGTATGTGTGTGTGTTTATATGTCACATACACAAATATTTGCACACATTTGTTTGTACGGTCACCCCACTAGAACCTAGTTCAAGCAACATTCTTGTTCATGTCCAACAATGCCATTTCATAAGCTCCATCAGAATGCCTATTCCCTTTCCAAATCTTCTCCGGCTGAGATGCAACAACATCTAGACATCTGCAAAGAGTGGTCCCTCAGCTAAACAAATCAAATCAACCAAGGAAACAAAAACAAGATGGAGCCCACGAACCCGAATGCAAACACATACGTCAAACCACTGTGTACAAAAAGACACACAGACGGTCAGACTCTCTTTTTCACTCTCTGACATGCTGTTGGACATCATGCGCTGGGGACTCCACCACCAAGGCAACATGCGCTGGGGACTTCACCACCAAGCTCTGTCTTCATCATGAAGGATCTTTGTTTTGCGTTCAAATCAAGCATTGGCGTAAAGGTTCTGGCAGATCCGCGGCACGAAAGAAACAATGGCATTGTCCCAAAATCTCGAAAATAAGCACTTGAAAATGATAACCGTCCACATAATACAGAGAAATCCACAATTGCGGCGTCTGATCTTCTTGTAAATAGGAGTGTAAGACCGTGCGTTGTTGTGGTTCGCCTGCATCGACAAGAAGTATATGAGACACACACAACGGAAGTGAAGAAAACTATCCTATAGGTTATGTCATTAGTCCAACATTCGTATGGATTTATCGCACACAAGTTTGTTAGATGTGTCACCGGAGCCTCGAACAACAGACGTCTGGGTCCAAGTATTTCCAGCAATGATGAAGCCAAGATTGAGCTCCGTGGCCAACGCAACAAAGTC